ATCTGGATGATATCAGCATTGTTTCGGACGGCCCAACGAATATNTGAAGCATAACTCCGCTGCAATTGGTTTAGAGTTAAACATTAAAAAATGCGAACTTTACTGCCAAAGTTTATTTCAGGTGCCACATGCGCTGGCTGGAATACCCAGAGTTGGTGCATCAGAACTGAGTTTTTTAGGCACATCCTTGGTCGAGGGCGATTATCAAATAAAGTTTTTTGACAAAAAGCTCTCTGAGCTTAAATTCGCCCTGGGTCGTGTTTCCTGTCTTTCGGCCCATGATGCCTTGACTATTATCCGCAATGCCCTCAGTTTGCCCAAATTGATGTACTTCCTGCGTACATCCAAACACATTGACCCTTCTAAATTGGGCGAATTTGACGTAGCCCTGCGCACCGCCCTGCAATGTTCAAGTGACCGACAGTGGTTGGTCCCAGGCTCAGCTACCGGTGCGATTTGGTGGGCTGGGGTTGCTTAGCGTGGTTCAGCTGGCTTCTGTTGTTTATAATTCTTCTGCCGCTGCCACTCTCGACCTGCAGTCTTCCCTGCTCCACCGGTTTTTTCGGTGCCGCGATATTCTTCTCCCAGTGTCCGCCCCGGGGGACCGTACGCACGTCCAAATTTTGAACGAAGAATATAACAAAATTTTTCAAAATTTGTTGTCTTCATGCGGCGACGACTTTTCCACCGCTCGTTTGTTGGCCATGTCCAGCGTTGCCAGCTGTGGGTAGTTGAGATCGTGGCCCAACATCTCTGTGGGCACCAGGCTTGACGACGAGTCTGTGAGATTTGCCATTGGTTTCAGACTTGGCCTGGTCATTCAAAATAAATACACGTGCCGACGTGGCGCTGGGGCGGACGAGTTTGTGCACCACGGTTTGGTGGGTGGGGGCCGTCAACTACGTCACTCAGCGCTAAACGAATACATTTGTCGGCTCTTCTCCAAGGCTTCAATCCCGGTTCTCAAGGAACCATCCGGCATTTCTGCGTATGATGGTAGGCGCCCGGACGGATGCACACTAATACCTAGGAGAGCCGGCAGATGTTTGGCGTGGGATGTTACGGTCCCTGGCACCCTTGCCGAACGATATGTAAACCTGACAAGTAAAGAATGCGGTTTGGCCGCGGCCAGGGCAGCGAACGAGAAAATGAAAAAAATATGGGAACGCCCTCCCCTCGATGGATTCTTGCCAATATGTATCGAGGTTCTCGGCCCGATGGACCCCAACACCCTTAAATTTCTTAAGGCAATATGTAAAATGATCAGCGTCAGATCAGGCGACAGCAGGGAACTGTTTTTTCTAACTAACTACATTTCGTGCTTGTTGCAGCGGTACCTGCGTGTCTGTATGCTTGAAAATATCCAACTGAATGCCGACATGTGCAATTAACGACAAATCAAAGTGTTAATCCATTTGTTACTTGATGTTTGACGGTTCAGTGTCACTCATCATGTTATGGTTTTAACATACATACATACATACATACATACATACATACATACATACATACATACATACATACATACATACATACATACATACATACATACATACATACATACATACATACATACA